ATGCATGAGTACCCCCATTTTGCAGTGGGGACACCAAGGCCAGGAGCGGTGAAGGCACATGTCTGAGGTCACCCAGTTCCCTTGCCTCCAAGTTCAAGGTTCACCCCTAGCCATTCTCCTGATATGTGACACTCCTGGGCATCCCACGCCTTCCTCCCCACTTCTCCTCTCTGACCTTGCAGACGGCACCAATGGCACTACTCCTTCGCAACACAGGTCTGGAGCTTGCTGGCCCTGGGCTAGCTTGGTTCTTATGGGAGGCATCCTTTCTGTAAAACACCCCAAAGAAGCCCTCAACCACCAGGCCTGTGAGCTCACTCTCCCAGCCTACGTCACTCTCGCCTCCGGATCCCTGCCTCACCAGGACCACAAGGACACAGGCAACTATTGCAGGAAATGGAGGATTTTCTTGTAAAAAATTCAAGCAGCTAATATGTATTGAGCCCCTACTGGTTGCCAAGGACTCTGCTAGGAACTTGACATGTTCCCTTCTCACCACCACTCAGCAAAAATTGGAATTCTCATCCCCATTTTACAGACGTGGATGCTGAGGTTCAGAAAGGCTAAGTGACTTGCCTAAGGTCAATCAGCTGGTTGTTGAGGCAGCATTCACTGCTCAGGTCTGTTAGACTCTAGGTCCCACTTTACTTTTAATCCGCCTCACTGCCTTGGCTCACCACTCTACAGGGGCCGAGAGACCACGCCAAAGTGGAAAAAGAAAAGCGAGCCTTTCACTGTTGTTGCCTGGCTCCCACAAGACTCGGGGGAGCCTAATCCCGCGGTGGTTACCCCAACCAACGGCCCCATGAGCTGGGATCCTGGGAGGCTCACAAGAGTCAAAGGGCTCCCCGGCAGGTTTGTCCTGGCAGCTGGCCAGCGGACTTGTGCTAACACAGCAGCAGGCACAGGAAAGGCTCCAGAGAGAATGGAAAAGCACCAGACACTGGGCCACTGAGGGGACAGAAGTGATTCCTGCCGTGTTCAGACGGGATGACGCTGCCACCACCATCACGGGGCCGGGAAGGGACCCCAAGGCAGGGCCAGCGAAAAGCCCCACGCACATCCACTCACTGTAGTGTTTCAGTAAATATGACTGCAGTCCAAGAGAGGGGCACATGGCTCCAAAGTGAACCAGCGGGCATGGAAGAAAACCAGCAACCCTGGCCTGCCTGCCTTTGCTCGCACACCCACCCACCCCGCTACCTCCTGTCACCTGGCATGCAAGACAGCACGCGTGATCCTATAGCAGACCGCAGCCAGCCCGTGGGAAAGAAAGCTAACCCGGAATATTAATAGACTTGCCGGAGGCGAAATTTAGTGAGGGCAAGCCCTAGGAAATAAAATTATTTAAAAGGGGGCACAATTAAAGTGAGCCTGGAAGAAGGGAGCAACTTGGATTTCCACAGGGAGGGCTTCTTCGGTCCGGCACTGGGAGGAGGTGCACCAGCAGTGGCAGGGTTATTCTAGAAAACCCAAAAATATCTTCGTCTATGGGAAAAAAATGTTGGTGTTTCTGTAGCTCTTCTGTCTGCTAACGTTTTGCTTCGGCTGATATCACACTACATATGCGCAGGATGATCAAAACTGTTTCAAGGGAAACCACTCCTGGGATCTAATATTTGCTACAAATTGTTAGGCTGCCAAAATAATTAACTGTTAACTATCAATTATTAATTTACTCATTATTGTCAATAATTTATCAATGACTAATTATTGATTATGCTCAGGTCTTGCCACAGGGGGCAACTCATTAATTAAAAGGAGAGGGGCAGTTTGAGAAGTCGAAAACCGGCATCCATTGAGATCAAATTAACCCCGTGGGTATGTTAGCCTGCTTAGAACTTTTTAGAAAATGAGCTGTCATCGGTTAATCAGAAGATTACACACACACAAATCTGAATTTCTACCATTTTTTAGAAAATCTGAAAAATCGTATCACTGGGCAAGCAGCACAAATTGGAAGATGCCGAGTAGCGACTGCCCCCTTCAGGCAGGCCCTGTGCTTCCCAGCTCCTGGCCTGGCGCACTCATTTAAGCCACATGACTGACCCCTGAAGGCACCCTGGTTTGTTCCTCCTAGTTAAAGCCCAGGGAAGGGATCAGACTTGGTCGTGCTCAGGACTGCCACAGGGGGGCAGCACCGGTCTGTCAATGAGGCCTGTAACCAAGCTGAGCTTGGCATATCCATTGGTAACCAGCAATCCCATCCTTACTTGGGTAGCAGACACTCCATATTCCCGATCAGATTTGTTCCCTGAGAAGTTAACAGCAGCTCATGTCAACATTCCCACTAGACCTGGGCAACCTGACTTGTTCTCTCCTCTCTGGCCACCACCTTCCACACCCTCCCAGCTCCTCTCATTCCACAGCTGGTATTCCCACCTGTTCAGGAATTCTTCCTTCACCTGCTAACACCATCAGGCCTCAGATCCTTCCCCCTTTTAAAGGCAGTTTGTTCTTCGTCAAATGGGCATCACCTGCCTTTGCTCACTTAGGGTAAGCGTCAGTTGACCACATGAGGCAAGAGGTTATTGTGCCTCGTCCTGCTCTCTGCTCTCACCCCCTTCCAACCGCACCAGCAGCACCTTTTTTATTTAACACTCACCCGAGGGTGTTTTTACGGATTTCAGAGAGAAAAGGGAGAGAAAAAACATCAGCGTGAGAGAGACATCAATCGGCCGCCTCCTCTGTGTGGCTCAAACCCAAAGCCTGGATATATGCCTTGACTAGGAATCGAAACTATGACCTTTCCGTGTATAGAACGATGCTCCAACCCACTGGGCCACACCAGCCAGGGCCCTGCGGCATCTTAAGTGGTAGCTTTTAGTATGATCTTCTACAGCTCTTTAGGAAAGACATTTTATATGATGTCTTGAGACCCTTAAAACTGCTCATCCCATTTCATCCAGAATGCCATTTACTATTCCTACTATTTAACCCAAAATTCAGGAAAAGCCTTATATATTCATTGCACTATTTATACTGGTGAACAACCAGAAACAACCTAAATGTCCTCCGGCAATAGGGAAATTATTAAAAACATAACAAAATGTTAGCTTTTCAGTTGTTTTAGAGCCCTGGGGAGCTGTACTAGAGCCCTTTTAAAAAATCCCTACCAAATGTTCTTTTAAGTACATCGATTATTCTTATATGGAAAAGTGTGTGTGTAGAATTGGAAAATTTGATAGCAACTGTTAAGCACCCTGGTGTATTCTAATTTAGATGCTGAAAGGTCCAATAGGCCTCTTATTACCATGACAGAAAAGCCTCTGGGAACCTGGGCCTCCAGGACTCTCCACCTCCAGGCCCCAGGGCAACCACACTAGTAAAACAAAGCCTCCAGGACACAGTAGTCCTTAGTTAAAGGCCAATGTTATCCGATCCTGAAATCCTGAAATGCCTGCCCTTGCATAACTCCTGAGGAGACCCCACACACCATTTGGAAGATAGAATTAGATCAGTATGGTTCTCAGATGCCACTTTAATCAAGTTTTGCACTATACAGTGATGGGGGGATGCAAGATGGAGATTATTTTCAAGCAGATTCACCTACCCCAAGGTGAACAGCCTTGGGCTGCCAAGAACAGCCCCTCCCCAGCGAGTCCCCCCGCTTTCCTGAGCTGGTAGGACAAGATTTCAGCAAGAGTGAGCACAAAGGACTGGGCAAACGAGGGAAGGAACCAGGTAGATTTCTGAAATCTTCCCATGCAAACGAGAACTAGACATGAGGTATCTCTCTTAAGGCAACACCCCAATCCCATGCACTTCAGCTTGAGGCCAAACTGCCTCCCTGCAGGGACCGACAGCCCAGGTTCATCCCATAACACTACTCCCAGCAGTTGTGCCCACCATACAACAGATGCAGCCTGCAGGCCAGAACCCTTCAGGGCCTTCCTCTTCACTGGCCCCTCAGCTTCTAGTGTGTCCGTGTGCCTGGCTGTAGAAGAGCACCCAGTATGTGTGTGGCCGGGTGGTGCCCGAGGGGCCAAAATAAGCAACACAAATCAGATGTGGATTCTGGAGCTGGGTCAACATGGTGGCAGGACCAGTCACGGCCTACGGAAGGACCCATATGGCCCTGTGTCCTCTACTAATTCTTCTCCGGGCGGTTTCTGTTCAGGACGGCTTTAGGGGCAAATTCCAGCTTGTCCTTAAGGCTCACCACCTGGGTGTGGTCCTTGCCTAGCAGCTCATCCAACTTGCGGTCCTCCCGACGCTCTGAGATGCTCTTCTCCTCCTCCACAGGCTGGGGATCTTTTCCCCGGATGAACCATTCCAGGTGGTAGCCCACAGCCCCGACCACGAAGGCCACAGGAAACGTGACATAGGGAGCATAAGTACGCACCACGGTCCAAAACACAGGCCACATGACATCTGCAGGAGAGCACAGGCAGCATTAGGGAGACACCAGCTGTCCCTCCCCACCAAACGCACCACTACCAAGCTCCCCACTCACCAGGCAGCCGGGCACCATTTACTGAGCATCCACCCCTTGCAGAGAAAAGCAAGAGAGAACCCTGCTTTATGCAACAGTTGGGTCCCTGAAACAACCCAGAAATTTTCGGAAGATTCAACTGTTAGGGAAGGGGACAAGACTCTCCATTTTATGACCCATACTTTTTGACAATTATGCAACCATGTACAGCAGAGTTCCCTATGAGGGGACCTCTGGGCTTACCGAATAAAGCTTTAAGTCTATTTTTTTTTCTTTTTTAAAATATATTTTATTGATTTTTTTTACAGAGAGGAAGGGAGAGGGATAGAGTTAGAAATATCGATCAGCTGCCTCCCGCACACCCCCTACTGGGGATGTGCCCGCAACTAAGGTACATGCCCTTGACCGGAATCAAACCTGGGACCCTTCAGTCCGCAGGCTGACGCTCTATCCACTGAGCCAAACCGGTTAGGGCTATTTTTTCTTTTTCTTTTTTTAAAATATATTTTATTGATTTTTTACAGAGAGGAAGGGAGAGAGATAGTTAGAAACATTGATGAGAGAGAAACATCGATCAGCTGCCTCCTGCACATATCCTACTGAGGATGTGCCCACAACCAAGGCACATGCCCTTGACCAGAATCGAACCTGAGACCTTTCAGTCTGCAGGCCGACACTCTATCCACTGAGCCAAACCGGTTTCGGCTATTTTTTCTTTTTTATGAGATTGACCTGCTGCCTACTGCACTAAGAGGGCACCTTTCTTTAAAATATATGTATATATATTAAAGAAAGGTACCCTCTGAAATAAAATATATATTGCATAAATATATACATATTTGCATAAATGACTAAGAAGGTGTGACTAGAGCCCTGATCGGAGGCCGTATGTTGTATGTCAGGATTCCTAGCACCCTTTTAATCTGTACATTTGGGAAGCCAAGGTGTATAAAGACAGAATAGCAGGCACATTATAGGCTGTAATTATAGTTCATGCATCCGGTTTTATGGTGGAAAAGCCATAAATATATATATACATATATATTTTATTTCAGAGAGGAAGGGAGAGGGAGAGGGAGATAGAAACATCAATGATGAGAGGGAATCACTAACAGGCTGCCTCCTGCACGCCCCACACTGGGGATGTGTCCAGGCTGGGAATCAAAAGGTGACCTCCTGGTTCGCAGGTAGATGCTCAACCACTGAGCTACGCCGGCCGGGCTTTAAGCCTTATCTTGACCATAGGCCTTCCCTCCATAGTGGGCCAACTTTTCAAGAATGGGAAAGAAGTCTTTCCCTCAAGTGCCCCAACCTGGCCTAGGAACAAATCTGTAACCCAGGTACCTGCCCTTGACCGCGAATCGAACCTGAGACTTTTTGGTGCACGGGCTGAGGCTCTACCACTGAGCCAGTCCCGCCGGGGCAAGTTCTCTCTTTATCAGCAAACACTCTCCCTAAACAGCAACCCTCCATTCAGATTCCCAATTTTTCTTAAAACGTATCAAGGATGAGTCCACAAGTATTACCTGTCACACGCTGCACCAGGTCTCCCTGTTCTCCTACTCGCATTCTAATCACTTTCAAATAAGTCAATGAATTCATTTACTTAACACTTACAACCATTTCCGCTGGGTCACACCTTGTGCTGGCGTACCCCACTTGTCTGCCTCAAAGCACTTTAAGCACCAAGAGGGCAAAGACCATAATGTCTGTGGCCCACTGTGCCCTATGCAACCCCCAACACCTCCCACCCTTGCCCGGCCTGGCATAAAATGCTCCAACAAGTTTGTTGAGTGAATGAATGAAAGCTCGAGCAGCACACTAATTAAAACCACAGCAGGCATCCACCCGCCCGCCCGCCTGCCTTCAAAAGGTAGCAGGAAGGCAGCAGGTGCCTCTGATGATTACGAGACTCGAACCAGTCGCCCCCCGGGGTAGCAACACGAATGAGGCCAAGGGTCTCGCACACACGGTGACGCGTGTTTCCAGCTCGGCGTGGAGGGGCCTGCACAGCCGGTAGAGGTCAACTAGTTGCCGGCAAGCCGGCCCTTGTGCCGGGGCCCCGGAGGCCCGATGAGGTGCACAGCCGGTAGAGGTCAACTAGTTGCCGGCAAACCGGCCCTTGTGCCGGGGCCCCGGAGGCCCAAGCCCGAAGTCCGAGATTCGAGAGCTGCTAACAAGGGCAGAGGATACCTAACGGGATTGAAGATTAACCCTGACCCTGACTCGAGCCCGGGCCAGGGGCGGGGGCGCAGGTGAGGTCAGGGTCCAAGTATCCAGCCGTCTCCCTCCGCTGGGCGCCCGGCCCCGGCCCCTATCCCACCACGATCACGGC